ATGAGGGACGGTACCCATCCGGTCAACACATGGGAACACTCGATGCCGCCCTCGTCGACTTCCGTCCAGCATAGATCCACCGAGGCTGTGACTGCGCCTGTCACGTTAGCCCAGGGGCTATACCCTGCTAATGCGATGATGACTGCCGAAGTCTCGAGAGATCCGAGCGGCTTTGTTCTATCTGATGCATCGAATCGGTGGGCTCAGAAGCCACCGGGGGAGAACTTTGACCTTCCCGTATTGGATTCAGACGCGCCCATCGGTCAAGCCTACACCACCGACGACTCCGTTTCCATTCTTGATTTAAGGTATTCAACCCCGTCGCAAGACAACTCTGATCGATTGAATCTGGACGGTAGCGTGGCAAGCCATCGCTTGTCTGGCTCGTCCTATGCCGTGTCGACAACCGGAGGGTTATCCGACATGCCTTCGTATGAGGACTTCTCTGCCGCCCTCTCCGACGTTCGATCACTCAACTCTGACTACCCACCTCCTTCAAACAGGACCTCCCTTATGTCATCTACACAGCTGTCGCCCGTGGCATCTCCTCGCCTGACGCCACAGACCCGCCCCGAGCAAGTCAGAACACAGAGTCGCGGCCGGGCCTCGCCGTCTCCACGACCAAGCATGAGGACTGCTCCTTACGACATCACTCGAGGAAACAAACAGCGCTGGTCTACCGGATCCTATGGTGTGGGACAGAGGAGACCTTCCCCCGCACTCTATCACTCGCCTCCTCCCAGTGTTCCTCAGAGATACTCTTACCAGTCGTTGCCTGCGCCCTCTGGCTCGGCAGTGTTCCCTAACCAACAGCAGCCAATCAATGCCAGCAATCCTCTTGCTGCCAGACCGCCTTTTATGATGGCTGGCGCCCCGGGATTCAACAGAAACAACATGGTTCTTGCATCCCAAATGCAGCCGCAGTTGCCCAATCAGATACCCTCGTACTTCTATAACCACAACGAGACGCACGGAGTAGTTGCCCCGCCACCGACCCTGGCCTCGCATGGCCTGCTCCGAGTTCTTCAGAGCAACGGCGAACCGCATCCTTTGACTGGTCTCTACGCAGACCTCTCGGACCCTCCGGATTTGTTTGGATGTCTCCACGAAGAGCAAGCGCCTCCCCCGCCGGAGGACATGAACCCTTCAGACCCGGAGATGGTGCCTTATGAGCAAGAGTTGCGGTTTGAAAACGACTTGTACACTCCCCGCTGGGTTCGAGGACATGGCAACAAGAGGGAAGGATGGTGTGGTATCTGCAAGCCCGGACGATGGCTGGTGTTGAAGAACTCTGCTTTCTGGTACGACAAATCGTTTTCGCACGGCATCAGCGCGGCAACCGGCACCCCGTTTCAAGAGCCTTTGGATTCGAGACGTATGAATGGCAACCCTGACATCTGGGAGGGACTCTGTGGAAGCTGTAACGAGTGGGTTCCTCTCGTCAGCAGCAAGAAGAAGGGGACAACATGGTTCAGACACGCGTACAAGGTAAGTACTGCGTTCTTGGAGCAAGGGAATTCTTTTGCTGTATTGGTTTGGTGCTAACTGGAGAAAAACTTAGTGCCATACACACCAGAAGGTCAAAGATTCTCATAAACGTCGCCGAGACAACAGCCAAAGCCAAGTTGGTGGCCACATGCCAACTTTGCATGATTCACGACCAGAGTCGCACAGATCAATGACTCCCCATATATCTTCCCCAGGCTCTGGAGTCGACACACCAAGCCTAGCGATGGCAGTCTCGATGCCAATGCCTTCGCAACAACCCATGGACTCTCGATCGTACATGCCACTACAGCAGCAAATGCAGGGTCAAATGCAGGGTCAACTGCAGGCACAACCGCCTGTTGGCATGATGCCGCAGAGATCTGACTCTGTTCGATCACAGAATACGCCCATGGACTCATACCCCGGCAATTATTAATTTTCGACTTAATTTTTTTTTCTCAACGTCTTTCAAACACACTCTCTCGCTTGCTCTTTTTTTTTTGCCCACTGGAACTACAATCGTTTATCAAAGTCACTTGCTGTTCGAAATTTCCTTAATTTGGATTCGATATTCATGCGTCACGTTCTGGAAGTCTAATGCCTATAGAGACGCATGAAATTTAGATTTACGCGACACGACAAGCTCGCGGATACCTCTTTTTTGGCGGGAATTGCTTTTGGTCCCCCAAACCTCTTGTCTTTTTTGATTATGTCACTCTCTACACTCCTCTCCTAGATAATTTCCTATCTTTTCTCTGTTCTTTTCTTCTTCTTGTTCTTTTTCACTTTTTACCTTTCTTGGCTTCAATTATTCCTTATTAGATTTTTCCCTTCCCAGTCTCTCCCTCATACACCGTTTATTCACGCTTACAGAACAAAGAACTACGATTACCGGATACCACCAATCATTGATACCTCATTATTATTATTTTTACGCCTTCTCACGCTTTTATACAATATAGATAGACATAGATGGAAACAAACGAGTACAAAGGGTTTTATACTTTTTCAGGATTAATCATTGGATATGATCTCACGAGATGGGAACAAACGGGAGGAACCAGACTGGGATATTCGGCGCTGCGGGCCAGCTGAGAGAAAGGGGGGATATACCACGGGATAAATAGAGGCTTCTTCTTTTTTTTTTTTTTTTGGAAATTTGTTGTTTTTTCATTTTGTATACGGAAGATGTATAATTTTTTTCACATAGTTCTATTGTATTTTTTTCTTTCTTTTCTTTTTGCACCTTTTTTCGCACCCGCCATCTGTTTGTTTTTGGTCGTGATTCTTACCCGTACCAGCAACTACGGTACGGTTCTGGACTCTGAATAATACGGGCCAAAAGGCACAAGAGGCCCATAGGGTGGTTCCACACCACCTGGACGGGAGACCCCGGCAAGCTTGGTGTGTTTCCCCTCTCCAAAAAGGTAATCTAATATTATGCTGATTTATGCGGCTGAGGCAGGATTGGTAAACTGCAACGGTGAGTGGGCGAAGCTAATCTCGGGGCGGATGGTTCTTTTGAGCAGCTGCGTGCGCGCTTGATGTTTTTTTTGCTCCAAAATTTCGTTGTCAAAGGAAGAAGAGAAAAGGCAGCGTTGGCAATATAGACGTTTGGTTGAATTTAGGTATGGATGACTTACATCGTAATATATTGCTGTGGCTTACTACGAATGTTGCGGCAAACCACCCCTGTTCGGTGTAGGAGCTGAAGCCAGGGGGTGCATGTAATGCATGTAACTGGACGGTGCCTCTTGTACGCCTCCACGTAAGGTGTCCATGGAACGTGAACAAGTTACTAGCAGGTACCTGATATTCCCGCAGGCGCCAGTGTCAATACGGGCGTTTATCCTGGCAGGAGATAGTAGGGATCCTTTGTCTTTTTTGCTTTCCCTCCAGCATGTTGCATGAATTTTACGGCCATGTTGAGCCAGAAAGAAAGAACAGGAAAAATAGAGATCTGATACTTGCTCTGCTGTTGAGAGGGGTGCTCAGTTGTCTTTTTGGGTAAGGGGGGTGTTTGTGGGAGTGGGGATTACTTACTTTCTTTGTGTTGTCGCTGCCCAACCAACGGGAAAATACATACTTGTATGGATATCAAACAATCATGGCATGGTATGGCATGGCATGGCATGTATAGAATGAGCTCATCACATGTATCGCGCGCGGCTTCTACGGGCCGATGGGGGAAGGGGGAGTGTGTTTTCTACCTAGTTTACTATTTGAGTACGGAGCATTACTCGCTGAGATAAAAAGACGCCAGGAGAAGTAAACTCGCGATCTCTTCCTTTTTTTATTTTTTTTATTTTTAGCGCTGAAACAATGCAGGTACAAAACAGCAGTTTAAAACAAACCAAAAAGTTAGGGCCTAGGAGGCACAAGGGTTCCTGATTTGTTCCCCCCATGAGATCACACGATAGAATAGATGCTCTTTTTTTCTTTTCGTTTCCCCAGAAGCCGGGACATGGAGATAAAACGTTACAAGGGCGGCAAGGTTTCCGCTTGGGGGTGTTTCACGGGATGGACATGTCGGACCATTTTCTCCTGGCTTTTTTTTTTTTTTTTTTGGATCTTGGAGAAGAGAGCTGATATTTATTTTTGGAAGCTTTTGTTTCTTTACCAAGCAGCGTATTCTTTTGTTTTTTTGTATCTTTTTTTTTTTCGACTCTTTTCTTCTTACGGGTATGGCCGGATATGGAGTGGGCTTTCAAAGGATCCGCAAGGCACGGCGCATAAAGCTCATTCATGCGAGCTTAGATGAAAAAGCGCATCGTCGAAAGAAGATAGATTGGCCGCTAAGTGCTGGCGGCCAACTATTTACTAGCATTGTGTAGTAGCTTCAGGCCATCTATCTTGGAATACCGCGAGTTTAGATCTTTTCTTCTAATTCATTGGATCTTGTGAGTTGGCCACTGCGTTGGTTCGTCCGCATCATTGAGTCGATTGGGTACATGTGTCCCTCTTACGTGATTTGAGATATCCGTATTGGGTAATAAAGATCTTTTTCAGCTTCGTCTTTCTTGATGCAGGTTATGTTTTGTTTTTTTTTGCATGGGAAGAGAAGTGCACAGGCTGGCTTATGCCGGTTCTGGACATAGCGTGGCTGCCTAGTTGGTGAGGACCGAGTCTGGGGAAGATCGAGATCGGATTTCGTCCGGGACTTTTTGTATGGTGGCAATTATTCGAGTACGGAATTACTAGAACTATACAAAAGAAGTTAAATGATGTATATACACAATGTTTGAATGGTACGAATGGTCAATGTTTAACTTGATGATGGTATAAGTCGCTTTTATGGTGGTATTAGGTGAGATAAGCCTTGTTCCTTGTGTCTCGTGAGTTGTGGTGCGTTTTTTGGCTTTTCTGACGTGAAGGCTCAGGAAAACGCCCGGGGTTGAAAGGGAATATTGAAATCGAGCAGAACACTGATTGGTATTTTTGAAAAAGACTTTTGCTAATTACTTGTAAATTTTTTGGAGTTGAATCAAGTTGATAGCTGTGCATCTCTCAAAATGCTTGTGAAGTTGCAGGTTTTCGATCGAATGTAAGTGTACGGTGTTATCGGATCTAAGATAAGGCTGCCATGGCAATGGCATTTTGATAGCCTTGTTTACACCAAATTCCCGGACCTAGTGCTGTGTATTACATGTAAGCAGTAAGTAACAATTACCAACCTGGCTGGCACACATTTGTACTCGCAAGATGCTCATCGGTAACAATACTAGCAGTCCTAATAGTCACAGCATCTAGCTAGACAGGCTTGCGCAGCTTCTTGTCATCATGTCATTCTGCTGCGCTAATCCACCGGTGGAATCCATGGTGGAGAAGGACTTGTCCCAGATTAGGCAAAAGAGGCTGCTGGGTCGCCCATCTATATGTCAGTAGCGCTGCGAACAAAGTGCTAGTAACTGTGGCAGTACTCGCTCGGGCTATTGTCAACGCAAGCTGCAAACTGTACTACGGCGCTTGGGAAATTAGATGAGCAAAATACGAAGACCGTCATCGGAGACAGAAGACGGAAAGATGCACAATCATGGCTCAAGGTGTAGTCAGATCGACAATTGGGCTACTTGCTCCTTTTGGGCATGCGGAGAAGAGCACCCGAGGGATCTTCTTATCTAATCCATGTAGCAATTGGGAGAGAGTTTATAGCAGCACGTACGTAGACACACACGGAGTGCATATGCAAGTAAGGGACGCCCATAACAAAAGCCCAACTTCCCCCCCTTTTTTTCTCTTAATCTTACGGGTGCAACCAAGGCGCCAACGCAGTGTGTCTTGCTCGAGAAACACCAATGGCCGTTATTCTCGCGGGCTGGTTCGGAACAAAGTAGCACGTACGACTAAGATATTACTCGCACAGGTACAAGCAGCTCTGTGGTCATGACCCCGGCGACCGTGCCCTATGTCAGCCAGCTCCAGGCCCTGTAGCTCAGCTGCCCAGCGACAGGACCGCTGTAACCAAGGCCGCTGCAATCCGGCGTGCACTGCTCCCAGCGGCCCACCCAGCTGCACCTGCGCTGCAGGGCTCCATTTGCAGCGTCTTCCTAGATCGAAATTGGCCCGTTCTGCCTAGAAGTTACCCACGCAGTACAGCCTTCACCACCACCGTTGCCAGTCGCCATACTGTACTTGTACCGGCTGGGCTTCCTCTCCGCCTTTGCGCTCCCGTCCAAAGTTCCAACTCTGTCTCTTTCTTCCTCGTCCTCTTGGCTGCTTCATCGTCCATTGCCTGCCGCACAGCCGCCGTGTCCGCCCTTGGATCGCTGGTTGATGCTCAGTGGAGCTGCAGGACAAGACTTGCCTCCCTTGTTTGTCGCCTGTCCCTCTCCTTTGCCTTGCGTTTTGCCGTTGCTCTGCGTTGGCTTTTGCTGTTCCGGTAAGACAAACATCTCCCTCTCCCTTTTTCACGCCTGTTTATTGGCAACGGCATCGACGAGAGCAGCGAAGGAGGCTGATAAGACCAGTTTTTTGTGCTTTTCCTCTTGTTTTGACCGCCTTTGCATTTGCAGAGCCAGTGCCGGATTTATACGACGTTTTTTTCTTTCCCTCTTTTGCATCTTGTCATGACCGTTCACGAGCACTTTGGATAATGAGAAACGAGCCACTGCGATTTTACACTACTCTTTGCCCAAGCAACCAAGCAACCCACTCGACAGCTTTTCTGCACCCTTTGAATCTGATCTGATACCGCCCTCCCCTCTCCGGACAAATTCAAGAAAGCACACCACTATTGCATCGAGGGAAAGGAAATTGACAAAAAAAAAAAAAAAAGCCTCCCTTGCAAGCATTTATATATATATACTGCTATATACACAGCATTTTTTTCGGGGCTCCCCCCACGGCCCGAATTGACGGTGCACGCACTGGGATGCTTGTGTCTGGCTTATCGTAGCGAACAGGAATTCGAGCTGATATGAGCGAGGATCAACAGCTAGTATCAAGGCATGTCCGCCTTGTCAAACACTCCGAAGCATGCCTGCCCTCCGCTCCCTCCAACAGTGGCTAACCAATTCTCTCTGACTCCGCACAGCAGCAGCTTTGGAGATCCAAACGCTCACCCGCCGCCCACGCCGAAGCAGACTCCAACCTCGGGTGCCTTTCCAAGCCCAATTTTCGAGACGCCGAAACCTCCCCAGGGATCCTTCGCCGACACCAGCGGCCTGACGCCTCGCTTTGCTGAGGAGTATTCCGTCTTCAACGCCACGCCGGGCAATCTGCGAGGGGCTCAGTTCCCCTTCGCAGATTTTGTGCCCACCACTCCCTTCGCACCCGCCTTTCTAGGGCACAAGCGACAGCTGTCCGCCGACGAGCACGCCGTCGAGAGGCTTGCCATCGAGATTGCAACCCGAGCCAACATCCCGCCGTCGAATCCCAACCTTCCACCGCCGCCCGTTGACCCGTCTCGACGCCTGCCCTCCTCGCCGGCGGCTTTGATATCATCTACAAAGGCCGCTGTCCACTCCGAAGCCCAACTCGGCCCTGCCTTTTCCTCCTCCTCGCATACCAAGTCGCCGAAGAAGCTCCGCCGGGGTACAATTGAGGGATCCGACGCAGCCCAACCTCTATCGCCGCCGCCGTCGGCTCACAAGAGCGACCAGAAGCTCGCTCCCAAGATCAATATGCAAGATGACCAGAGCTATGGTCACCCAGACTTTGGCGACGGCTTCCAGGGCATGACGGGCATGATGGGCGGCGCCGAAGACATGTTTGTGTACCCAATGTCTGCTCCCCCGGGCCAGGCCAACTTCTGGGACCCCGCCATGGGAATGGACTTGGACTTCAGCACAGCAGGCGCCGCCTTCTTTCAGCCCTCGCACCGCCACACCGGTTCTTTCGACTGGAACAGCGATATCCAGCTCTTCCAAGATCCTGTACCGCCGCCTCCCCCGCCATCATCAAACCAAGAGAATGTCCAGCCGCATGCCCAACACATCAGCCAGCCGGCCCGGAGGGAGAGGATGCTGGCGCCCAAACCGCCCATCTCTACGGGGCAGACTACGGCTCCCATGACCGCATCTGCCATGTTTCCAACATCCATGGAAGATTCGTTTGGCTTGGCAACTCCCATGGAAGGCGTGGACCCGGGGCTGCTATACAGCCGGCCCCCGACGTCCTCAATGACGGCCGAATTTAACCACATCAACACATCGTCCGCGGACATGATGCCCATTGCGGAAGCCAGCGGCAACTCCCGTGTGATGGCCCAGCCTCGCCGGACTAATAGCATGAAGGAGACGAAAAGAGGCAAAATGCCGGATCGTTCCTATACAAGCTCCCCCGTCAAGGCTATGAGCCGCCCAGAATTGAATCGCAGCCTAAGTGAGACCCGGAGCAAGAAGGCAATGGGCCGGGGCGCATTGCCGACTTTGGCATCCGCCTCAAGGCTGTCGTCATCACAGACTGGGGGCATGAGTGTCAACACAGATGTGGGAAAGTCGGGATCGCAGCTCTCTAGGTCTGGGAGGATGTCGCCCCTCAAGAGTCAGCGACGGCTGTCGAGCTTGGCGTCTATTCCCGAGTTTGCCTCTCAACCCCAGCTTCATCGGCCACGAACATCAGTAAAGTTCACTATAGATGCACATGGGCGAGCTCGAGCGGAAACGACAGTCGTGGTAGAGGACTCTGGGAGCATTACTCGTAGTCGAAGCTCTCGAGAGCTCTCATCAACGCGGAGAAGCTGGGAATCTTCTGATGATGAGTCCTCTACGGACGAGGAGCCAATCATCATTCCCAGCCGAGCTAATTCCTTCAATGCATCCTTTGCCTTGCCTGACCCACGTAAGCCAGTGGGCTCAATCTTCCATTCAGGTCGGCGGAGCATCAGCGACAGGAGCAGGAGTGCGTCGACCCCTTCTCTCGTGACGCCAATCGATGGGGAGAGCGAGGCGGAGACAATCATGACTGATCATCACGAGAGGGGAGGAGATGCAGCAAGCGAGTTGCGTAAAGTGGTAGAAGACCGACAGAAGCGATCCATACAGGAGAATACTCGATCACACCAGCGCATTCTGACCTCGAGTGGTTCTGGAAATTATAAAAACAGTGCCATATCCCCAATCAGCATGGCGGACTCGAACTACAGAACGGAAGGACATAGGATTCGATGCGTGTGCAGCAGAAATGAGCCCGATGAAGACAATGGTTATATGCTTCAGTGGTATGTTTAACAGTCTTGTAAAAAACCAAACCCAGCTGACATGAAGCCGTTTCTAGCGAGTCATGCGAGATGTGGCTGCATGGCAAATGCGTCAACATTAGCAGACGTACCATGCCCAGCGTATACATCTGTGGCTACTGTGCCAACACGCCTAATGTTGCGGCACGGCGAGCACAGCAAAACATTGGCCGAGGAGGCAGTGGAGGGCAGTCGGCGTCATCATCTCTGCAAAGCAAGACGCTTCGGACCCTTCGATAGGGGGAATTGTGGTAAAAAGAGAAAGTGTGCGCCCGCGTATGAACGTGTGAGCGTGCGAGGAAAAACAACCAAGGGACATATTATATCTGATTTTAACAAGAAAACAAGCAAGCAGAGACACAGGTTGGGCAAAGCAAAGGAAAATTTTTTTAATGCGTTATGTTGAATAAGATTAAACAGGGCTCTCCGCCAACTACTTACTTTACTATTCCTAGAGAATCATGTAGACGAGCTGCAGAATGTTGTACATAGGGGAAAGATACCCTAATGCTATATTGTTTGGGGATGGCTATTGGAGCGCCAATGTGTGAGAAGCTCAAGTTGAATGTGAGAAAAGAGGAGATGAGTTGTAAAAAGGCCACACTCGTGTACGAAGTATTGGGTTGGAGTTTGGGGCTTAATAGCGGTGGCTGGTGTGAGCAATTGCGTCGATGATGCTCCACTGAGGGAGCTGTTGATATTGGAGATACACTCAATACGTAAGCTCTGGAGAAAGATAAAGCTGACTGCTGCATAATATTTTGCTTCAGTGTAGAGGGATGAACAGGTCCGAGGTATATATCATGTTATAGAGCTTTTCTCCCTCGATTTCAGCTTCTAGTAAAATCATTGGTAAACCTAATTGGAACTATCCTGGCGTGGCTATGATGCTGCGATAGTCTCTCAGCCTGCCCAATGAGGCCGTCAAGAATGCTATTGAGGGAGGCCTGCGGACAAAGGACATGGGTGGTAACTCTAGCACTACAGAGGTAGGTGGTAGGTGATGGAGTTGTTGAGGAGTTGACCAAGGTGCTCAAGGCATGAAAGAAATGCTACTGAAAGAGACAGAACTGAAGGCGGAGAGCTCTGGGATATGTGAAATAAATTAAAAGGGGTATCATGTGGAGGAAAATTACACATTGGTGAGCAAGGCTAGCTAGGTAGGTAGTATAACTTCTAGTAGTCGGCTGGGGCTCTCGTATTGTATAGTTGTTGTTCTGCAATGCGGCATTACAATCTTGCATAGCCTAATACAGTGGATATCTCGATTTCTTGCTCTTATGAGGAATATCCTGGAGAGCTTGCGGATGGTACAGTTTAGGCAATATATAATTGTTTAGCTAATTTTGCGTTTCTCACAGCCTTATTCATATCTTTCCAGATTGCAGGTTGATTGCAGTGGACTGGATAGTTTTTTTTTTTTTTTTTTTTTTCATCTCCCAAGTGCTTTTCGGATGTAAAAGAAACGCAGAAATGGAAAATACCATCCCCGTCACTGTTCAACGCCAGCTGGCAAAGCGCGCTGATTTACCCTTCCTTGGCTGTTCTATCACCTGACAGCGCAATATCTTGGATATTCACTGTTTCATTGGCTCTGAAGTCTCTGCTTTCGTTTGTCACTGAAGTTTTTTTCTTTCTTTTCCCTCTGCCGATAGCGCTGCCTACTCTCCCTTCTTCACTCTCCTGCAACTTGCAGTATCGCAACGCTTCATATCTCAACTGGAGGCGAATTACCACAAGCACAGCTATTTCAACGCTCTGCATGGTCTGGAGCCTGAATAACCTGCCGGGCGATTCAACGTCTGCGTCTGAGGCTGGCTTGTTGATGGATGCAAACTTGACCAAAGAGAGTTCGAAGATGGCACAGAATTGTCAAGTTTCTCCCACGGCCACTGAAGGAGACGCGTCGCCGAGAAAGCACTCCGAGTTGACAAAAGACGACGCCAGTTCCTCTTCGACCGAGATGCTTGAATCGAACCACGGCCAGACCTCGGACAATATCCTGACGACACCAACAACACTACAATGGTTCAACGAATTGGTGGCCAAAAAGCCCACAACGCCAAGACTGACTTCAGCAACCAATACCCAAATGGCAACCCTCCAAGAGGAAATAAAACTCCTAAAACAAGACTTGCGCAAGCTACAAGACCAACACCAGAGCCTTGAGGACACAATCCATATCCTCTTGGAAACTACCAAGTCGATGCGACAAGCCAACTCAACTTTGGCGGCCACGCTCTCCAGCAACAACAATCGCGTCGACATGCACGACCAAATGATAGAACAACTGGCTGCATGGATCTTGGCGTTGGAGAACCAAACACAAGCCCGAACGCCCGCAGATTCGGAAGATGATAACGCCTGAGATATTTCGGTTACTGAGGAACTCAGCTTATGCCACCAGAGGAGCATTGGAAGGTTCAGATATCTGGATGCGAGCATAACGTTGGCGACATTTTTTTTTCATTAATCTCAGGGGAAATATTTAAAAGGGGCGACCGGATTGGCTGATGAGTGGCGGAGGAAGTTATCTTAGTATCTGAAAATAAAACGATCAATGTTCCTTTTGACTTTGTTTGTGGATGTCCCTGGGATTTCAAGAACTTGACTTAATCTCAGCTATTGGTGCATTTCAAGTCGTTTAGATCTCCAACCCCCGTTGATACCTCCTTGCGGTTTATTTGTAACTGCGAAGTTGTATGCCTTTTCAACAAGGAGTAGAACACTATTGCATTTCCCGCGTCTACGTCCAGCTATCGCAGCCTATGCTTTCTTTTATTCCATCAAAGAGACTCTGCTGGTCGAGCTGCGAGACACGCCTCTGTTCAACGCCAGCTGGCAGTTTTACTTTTGACTTTTTGCTTTTCTACCAGCTGGCAACGCGTCATCCTGAAATTCATTGTTTTGACTGGCTCTACCATCTGTTCTTTCCGCCAATTGACCACTGGCGATGGCCCTTTCCTGGTTCTCTCTTCTTCTTCGCCTCCCCTCCCTTCTTTGCCCCCACCTACATCTTGCATTATCGCAACACTTCATATCTCATCCAAATGCGAATCGCCCCAAACAGAGCTATTCAAACACTCCGGGCAATCTTGACGCATCATGGCTTCCACCGATGAGGAAAAGGCCCGGAAAGTCAAAGCCATCATAGACTGTGTCCAACAATCAGAGAATGGCATCCCAGAGCGGGATCTCATTGGGCAAGATTTAGCATTCGACATCTTCCTGAAGAAATTGAACAAGAAAAGGAAGACCAACGCCGATGGTGTTCCGGCTCCGCGAGAGAGCACCAAAAACAAGGAACCTGGCTTCTCTCCACCGCAAACGTCTGCTAAGGAGTCGGATAGAGACGAACTCGTCCCAGTGTTTAAACTCCATGGCGAGGCCCGGAGCGGCCAGCCGTCGTCGAATGACCCCCTGGAAAACCTGCCGGATGATTCGACGACTTCTTCGGAGGTTGACGAGGCGATGGATGTAAGCTTAGCGGAAGAGCCCTCGAGCATTGTGCAGAAACGTCAAGTCTCTCCCGCAGCCACCAAAGGTGATGATTCGTCTGCCAAAGACCGTAACAGCTTCGCCAAGTACGGCGCTTCTTCTTCTTATTCGACCAAGAACCACGAACCTGGCCACCGCCGCACCTTGAACAAGAAGGACTTTTATTCAAAAATGACCACTAGCATTCGCGAGACCGGGTTTCCTACCCCGAAGCAATCTACACGCTGCACTTGCCAGGCTGAACTCCAAGGACTTCAAAAAGCAGTTCAAAAGATGAACGATAGTCTTGGAAGGCTAACCCAAACGCTTGAGGAAGTCGTTAAGAAGATTGATACTACAGCCCAAGACGCCAGGATCCATCGAAAGGGCACCCAGCGCCTGATCGCGGCCGCAAATGGTGGGAAGACGCCTACGGATTCGGAGGACGACGCCAGCGACGTTTCGGCTGATGAGGGAGTTAAATTATGGTAGGAAGGGGGGTTATCGGAGACGAGGTATCTGGATGCGTGTATAACAGCGGCATTTTTTCAGTAATGCCAGGGGGAATATATGTATTAAAGGGGCGACTGGGTTGATTGATGAGTGTGGTGGAAGTATTCTTGCTGAAATTGTCTTGTTATTCTAAAAATAAAACGATCAGCAGCATTCTTTTTGACTTTGTTTCCATGAACTAGTCTTTGAAGACTGTTCAGTTTTGGTAGTGTAATCTTGGGGAGTAAGGCAGGGTCTGTTCTATTTTGTCCCGTGAGGGTGTTGATGTCTGCTTGTTTGGTCTCAGAGGTACTACCATTCACATAAGAAGCAATGCCCCATGATCCATGTATGATTGACCAAAAAGAAAAGAAGAGTCATTTTGTAGGTACTTAGGCTAGCAACATTTCCCATATCTCATCCGGCTATCGGCTTCTCAATTAACGCAGCTTTGAGTCAATCGTAACGGATTAAGAAGCCCTGTAGTACAGAGAGTAGAGTCTATAATTGTCTCCAGGGACTCGGCAAGCAAAGCCCATCTTCACCAGCGAAGACGAAAAGGGGAATCAGAGAAAAGGGGTATCAAAAGACAATTTTTTTTTTGCTCTGTACGTGCCATCAATGTCAAAATTGAAGAGGCATAGGAAAGAGTATTTGACAAACTTGCTTTTTTTTCTCTCCCCTATCTCTCCTCGTCTTATTCTCACCCCTTACCCTTACGTACATGGAAAAAGAAGGAAACAGGGACGAAAAGAAACAATCCACTTGGCGTTGCAGATAACTCAGTTGATAACAGAAAGAAATCAGGGGAGAGCGGCAGATATTTTCAGCCAAAGTTGTACAAATCGAGTCAGTTCCAACGACCAACCACAGCCATATAATCAAACTTTTTCTCTTTTTTTTTGGTCAACTATCAAAACATAAAAAGAGGCTTGAAAGCCCTCCACACATATTGGATTCTCCTTTTGGTTCTCTTAATGCGGGAAGCACATTGTAAAATTTTGCCCGGTCCATCAGCCAAGGAGAGGGTCTTTGAGGACTTCATGAGTCGCTGGTAGTTTAGTTGCCCAGGCTAGGGAAGGCAGACTCGTCCTTGGTGTTGATAGAGGCAGCCTGGCCGCCACGTCCACCACGGAAGTTGCCCCTGCCGCCTCGAGGCTGGTCACCACCACGGTCACCACCACGGCCACCACGGGGGCCACCGCGACCGCCGCGGCCGGCGCCACGGGTTCGCTCAGGCTCGACGAAGCGGGGATCGAAGTCGACGGTCTGCTTCACCTTGCGCTCACGCTCACGCTGCTTCTTGCCGCCGGTGCCGGCAAAGTAGACGTCCTCCTCCTTCTCGAGGGGCTTGGCAGCAGCCCACTTCTTGTCGATCTTGCTGCCCTCGTTGGCGGAACGGATGCTGATCTCAGAGTCAAAGGCACCCTTCTTCTCAGCCTGCTGGGCTTGGTAGTCGGCGAAGGAGATGCTCTTGTCTTCGGGCTCAGCGGGCTCCTCAGCAGCGGCATTCTCGGCCTCGTCCTTCTTCTCAGACTCGGCAATGGCCTCACCGGCTTGCTCGTCCTTAAGCTCGGCATTGCCTTCGGTGGCACCCCAAGACTGAGCAGCCTGCTTGTCGGAGCCACTGTAGCAATTGGTCAATATTAGATACAAAATTGAGAGAGTAAACAAGGATAATTCTTACGTAGTGGCGCCGGACTTGTGGGTGTGTCTATCGTCACGGTCACGGGGGAAGCGTCCGCCACGGCCTATCTCGGCGTCAGCATATGTCTCTTCCAGGCTGCAAAGACTCTTAAAGGAAAGGGTCTCTAAATAGGAATTTCTCACCTCCACGGACACGAGCACCCTGACCACCACGAGGAGCATCTCTAGGGGTCTCCTCGGTAGAGCGGCCCTGGTTACGTTCCCGGCCAGCGGCGCGATCACGGAAAGCTACACAGCAGCAATTAGCATGAGTCAAACATGCGTGTCTCAGACGGACCGTCGCCACGGCATTGTCTTTTCAAGCGAGACGGAGATGGCGCAAACTTACCGCCCTCGTTGCCGCCGAGGTTACCACGGCGGTTGCCGCCAGTCCTCAAAGGGGCCGCGGGAGCCTGAGGCTCGACATTGCGCTTGGTGGTGCGAGCGGTGGCCTTGTCGACGGTCTTGACGGGGACGACGGGCTTCTCCTCGCCGTCGGAGTCGTTGCCTGCAGCGTGAAGCTCGGGTCAGTGTGGTGCGATTTAAGATTTTCATCGCGGCGGGGGGGGCATTTCGTGGACACAAGGAGGGGCTGAGAGCCACAGCAAAGTTTGCGAAGAGGAGGAGGGGGAAGAAGTACCGAGATAGGCGAACCGGTTCTACACGAGGCAGGCAGTCAGTAACCAGCAACACAAAATGGAGATGAACATGGAATGTATATAAGAGAGCAGGATATTAGGGCATGGGATGAGGGCGACGGCGACGGCGACGTCTCTATCCGTGCGGGAAGGATTGCTTGGCCGGCGGCGCATTGCGTATATAGCAAGGATCTGGAGCCCGCTCGCAGGTCCACGACGGCAGCCGAGCATCGAATTGACGGGCAAGAAGAGAAACAAAGAAAAGACACGACGACGACGACGACGGCATCATGACATCGGCCGTGGCAAGATGGTATCATAGGCTGCGTACCTGGGAGGCGACTTGTGACATGTTGGTCGCTTTGGCCTACCGGAGGGGCTGAATACTGGCGGCGCTGGTAGTCGTTGCTACTTGGTGGTGGAGGAAAGGAAGAGGTTAAGATCGCATGGCCCTCCTGGCGCGCGAGTCGGTCTGTCTGGATGTTCTTCGGAGAGACCAGAGCGGCTGTGCTGCGGATGCAGTTGAAGAAAAAAAAAATGCACGATGCGGCCTGTAGGTATTTTGGAGGGGGGTTCGCTGCCAGCTCAATGCGGCGGGCAAAACTCTCTCGCTGCTTCTGTGCTGCGCCAGAGCCCACTCCGGAAAAAAAAAAAGCACTGCTGGCACTAGCTCAGTTTTGTTTTTGGGGGGGCTCGCTTAATTCCCGTGAAATGTTTTGTGGTGACGCTGTTAGGGCTCCGGGGCGCTGGGCCGTTAGTGCACTAGGTATTGCGAGGTAAGGGTCGCCTCATCAGCTGCTGTTGATGTGCTCAATCTACATTGCACCCCAGCTCTGGCCGCCTCCCATTCACGGCATTTCAGCTACAGTTGATCACGTCTATTCTGCTCACTCAGGGCTGCTTCAAACGACCGGCTTTGGAGGCATCCGCAAAGCTTCGTGGGCTGCGCCATGGGAGCCAAATTCCCGCATCCGGGGGCGCTCTGCTGTGGCCGAGCTGTAGCTACGGGGGAGATACAAGCCGAGCTACGACGCAGCCGAGGGACCAGACTAGGGCTTCCGCCCGCTGGAACCTCACTAAAAGGGCTCCGTAAGAATCAAAGACATTGGAGCTCAGAGGTAGGTACCCAAGTACCGAGCACGGCTGCAATGCTGCTAGCCTCGACTTTAGCGCGCAGCCCGTTGGAGCTTCAATCCAGCTGAGGTGCGACGCTGGAGCTGGCAGGTGACTTTGGCGTGGCCGTGATAACGTCATCAGTACGTTATCGCCAATCTGCGGTACGAATCTGCCAATGCGCTGCACTGTAGCATTCACGCTGAATTGTTTGCGTCTACCAATGACGTTCTGCTGTTACGGCCCGTTTTGAAGGCGCAGCCAAGTAAAGGTGCAGCTACGCTTATAAGCGTGTAAGTTGCTGTAGACTTCATGATATAGTGAGTGTGGTAGCGTAGCAAATCGAGACGTATAGCACAATGAAATTCCATATATAGCAAGGTTAAGTCAATGGCCTCGGGGAGTCATCAATTGAGGGTACTCATACTTATATTACTTAGGCACCTGTGTAGTAGATGGGCTACAAGCATTCTCCAGGCCAAGAGGAACTCCTTCAACGACGTAACCTATATGAAGAAAGCCTTTGAAAAGCTCCAATAGCAGTCTCTGACAAAGCAGCCAGAGAAAACTGGCAAATGTTCAACCTGGTTCTGAGAAACGGGACATGGGCAAACGACTTGACCATACTTTATGACATGGCCGAGCTATCTTCGGCTTTTGTCCAACACGGATCGGCTCTCCATCAACGGGATCAGATGCGTTGGCCCGAATATTGAATTGGGACGAACCCAAAGGCTTCTTCCTCGTAGTGTAACCTCTCCCTTCTCTACCAATGCGCGAACAGCCCAGTAAACGCACCTGTAACATATCAGCATCGCCCATATCATACCCTCGCCCCAACTCACAGCTTGTTTCAATGTTGGATTCTCAGTTCTCATCCCATCAACTCCTTTAGCTCCTCTCATTTCCCCCCTCCCCTCACAAACCTCCATCTCAATCCCACAATCCCAGCACAAAGGCACCTCCCCAACCTCCTCAATCCCCCCCTTCTCACCAACCAACTCCCTCACCTTCACACCCCTATAAATCACACGGCTCCCACACAACAAGCACCCATAACAGTCTCCATGCCAGAAACACCATCCCAGACTCACGCCCCCTTCTCCCTGGAAAATCACCTCGCCGCATACCCAGCAGATGGAGAGATCGAAAATGGCCGTCGAGCACGAGTGGCACGCCAGACGGCATGAGCGGCCGAGAATGCAAGGAGAGCCAATGTAGACGCAGTAGCAGAATGAGCAGGTGAAGATGTTTGTCCCGTCTGGGAGCCTCATGGCAATGACGTGGTGAAATATTTCTTGATTCCTGGGATAGTCGTGTTGAACAGCCTCTCGTGTCAAATGAATCAATAAAGAATAAAACTAATGGTAAAGGTCTGCTGCATACGGATGCTTGAAGAGTGTTCTTGTTTAATGATGGACAGAGATGTCTTGCAACAGAAGAAATAAACGAAACCCGTCGAGACTTCCACAATAATGGCAGGAGCAGCTTGACAATCACAAAGATAGAATTCAGAAAGTACTAAGCCTTCTCTAACATACAAAGAACGTTAATTGGGCATTCGCAGCAATTCCTGCAGTAATACTCATACACAAGCCGACCATGCGTCGCCCTATCTCAAACACAGAAATACAAGCCAATGTTCCTCCTATAATTCTCACTTTCCCTTCCAGCGCCGAGCCAAACATAAGACAAGAAAAAGAAAGAAAGAAAGAAAGCAATGTGGTCCTCGAAACCAACCATGTCCAGCCAAATACAGGCCTGAGGTAGAAAAAAAAAAACACTCTTACTTAAAACACCAAGGAATCCATAGCTCTGGGTTCCATCATGCATTGGGACGTTTCCTTCATCATAGCAAAAACACCAATTGGGTGTAGTTTCCAACGCCGAACCAGTATAATAACAAAATAGCCACCCTGATAAAACGGCCCTCCCAACCAGTCTGACGAGTTATGATCCGTTCCCGTCAGAATCTCTCCGCAATCGGTGAAGCTTAGGACCAAGAGAATATCTTCCCATACTTCTCCGTTGCGCCCGTGTGGCTACCTAACCACGATTTTTAGGCTGGGCGAGCATGTTGAGGCGACTCATACTCAATGTTGGTCGTTTCCTGGAGGGCGATACCGAGCTAATGGCTCGGTGAATGGGACGGACGGGAGTCTTGCCGACGCTGCGAGTCATCGTAGGCTTCTTCGCACTAATAGAAGGAGTCGAAGCCAAGCGAGGAGCCAACAAAGCCTGGCCCTCCGGAACATGGCTACTCTTGGCCTTCTTTCCAGCACGATCGGCCGCCTCTTTATCAGTGTCTTCGTCGACCGAGCCGGCACGATGGCGTTTCTTGTTAGACATCCCATGTGGAACGCCTAAAAGCACCTTTGGTGAAGAGGGCGCCGCATTCTCTTTATCCGGATGAGAGCTCGGCGAGACAGGGTCAGGGAAGCTGCCAGGCATATCCGATGTGGGCTTCATAGAAGTACGCACTTGGCGTACGCTCGACTGGCCAGGAGAGGCGCCAAAGCCAATAGGTGACGGATGCCCAAATTTGATTGTATGGTCGCTTCGGAAGGTGAATTTACCAGGAACTGAAGGAGTGGGAGTAGGAGACTTTGCGCTCTCAGGTTCCGCGTCCAGGAGATCCTTGTAGGCGGACAAATCGGGATAAGCAATACTCCCCGAATCTTTTTCTGCCAAGGCTTCCTTCGCCTCGGAACGCGTTAAGATCTTCTTAATAGCACTTGTCTTGTAAAGCGTCAAAGAATCCGGGTCAAAAATGGTTCGTGTAACTTCTGGTGTGAACGTCACATGCTTCACCACCTTCTTCAGGGGTTGAGTGGCAGCAAGACGATGGACATTCAAGTTGGAGAACCGAGGTGGTGTGACGACCGGCTGCGGAATTGCACTCTGCCTTCTAGGCGTAAATAGGCTGCTTCCAAATACTGATTTCATCACCGATCGCCTCAGAGGCGTGTCAAGCTGACTCGCGATAGTGTCGTCGGTTATTTTTGTCTCTTTGAGAGGCTTGATTTCGTCGACGGTCTTCAATTCCTTGGGCTTCTCCATTTCCTTAAGCCCCTTAAACTCCTTAGATTCAGTTGACTCCTTATATTCAGTTGACTGCTTGAGTCCCCTTGATTCCTTGAGTGCCTCCAATCGGCTCTTGAATGTTGGCTTTGGTGACGATGCAGCAGCAGGCATCTCAGATTTTCTGGGGCTGACCACATTCGCCAGCGATGATTTGGTTGGGCTCATCAGGCGAGAGAGACTGGGTCGGGCGATTCTGGATGTAGCAGGCCTCTTGACGCTAGATGCTGGGCGAGGAACTGAAGTGCTTTCTTGCAACGCCGGTCGGGTTGTCGACGCATCGTCTTCCGCATTCTTCTTGAACCTCTTGGAGGGAAGCGAATGCTGCTCGTCCTTTGCAGAGCTTTGTTCTTCGCTAGCGCGAGCCTTGAAATCCAACTTCTTGGGAGGGAGCCGGCTGACACTTTTCGTTGCTGATGCAAGCTTCTTTGTGGCGGAAGACTGTGGTCCCGCTTCCAGTTTCGAAGGAGTCCGCTTCAAGCTATTCTGCGCAGTGTCGAGGTTGGCCTTGGAAAGCGATCGTTTCACGCCTGGGTTGACAACGGGCTGGAACCTTCCATTTTGTGCTCTCCAAGCAGACGCATGTCCCTCAATTGAGTCCATTTTCTTGAACTCAGCCATATGGGCCGCGCTAAACCTTCCAGACTTGCCTTTGGGCGTAGCAATGGTGCGGCCCTTGGCGTCGGTTGATGCAGATGTCGACCCGTTTGCCCTTTGAGCAACGATATCGGCCTTGTACTCGGCAGCCTTCTCTTTGAGGCCCTCCAAGACGCGTAGGGCTTCGGGCCCTAGTCCCAGATAATCACCCCCATGGGGCACGCGGAGAGTGAATGCGGAAGATGGCACACCGCTAACCTTGGTGGGGGTAGATTGAAGTCCAGCTCCATGAGAGCTGTCGCGCTTCCTAGCAGCGGTGATATCTGTGAAACCCAGCCTGAGGGCGGATGAGGGCTCTGCTGTAGTCGGGTGATATTTGCTGGGGTGCATCTCGGTGCTAGGGGGCTTCAAAACGTAGGTCGCAGGCGTGGCAGGCGACGCAACTGGGATTCTCTTCTTGGGAGTTGCGCTGGTGGCGGGCTCAGCACGGCTAGTTTCTCTTGTGAGCTCCGGCTCGATGAGCAACTCGGGCCCGGTATTGCTCTGCGTCGACATTGTTAGGCTACAGCAGGTCTTGAAGGCGTGTTGGGGGTAAGGAAAATCTCACCTTAGCAAGCCGAGCCGAGCGGCGAGGCGGCGGCGCAGACATGGTCTGGAAAGCGCTTGATTGTGACTAAAAACTGCAAGGTAAAATGGTATTGATAGCAGTACTGTGAAGGCGCAGCTCTTTCGATGAAATGTCTCGTTAACAAGAGGAGGAATGTGGTGATGGAATCCAACTGGGCAAGGTGATGGTATCAAAACAATGGCACGATGTGGTTGTCTGGTGGAGGGGGTTTGTTTACTTTCTGATGGTCCAAGCTCGAAAAAAGGGCACGCGGTGGGTCTAACAGTGCGCAATACAGTGGCCTTTAGCGAGATTGGCAATCAATTAGCACGGTATGATGAAGCTATGGAGACCATGGCAACGACTCTGTTGACGAATTGATCACATGCTTTATCAGACGTACAAGTAGTTGTAGTATCGAGATAACAGTGGTATCAAGAACGCTTTAATCTTGTCGATTATTCCTTTCTGGCCAAGATTAAAGGATTTGTAGATTCCATAATGTCGGTCGCCTCTCGTACGCTCTCCTCAAAAGAACAGCCTCTCTAGTACATAAGCAACAGTTGGTAGTGAGGCAATGGGCGCTGATTGCACATTCACTCTCTTCATGCAAGAAGCGCCCCAAGCCCACCAGTACATGACAATAAATCTGCATCTCGGCATTTTAAATACGCATTTCTTAGTCTCTCAGTATGATGCCCATCAAAGCACTCGATGAAGCTCTCTTGGCGCCTGATACTGCTTGCCGTCATTACAGCTCACAAAACAGCGATCCGTGTCTGTCAATCTAGATCCTCAGCTGTTTGGTCACACTGTTTCACGATCATCGATTTACACATTAGCGTTAGATGGGACCACGCACTCGCATCTTACGCCGAGCTCCATCAAGAGCATGGAATTCTTCTCATCTAAATGCAAAACGGCCGCTGTCAAGATGCCAACCCTCGCTAAGCGCTCACTCTAAAGACTTTAGTCGATTCCCCAACTCCCCAATCACGAGGCCCTCAAGGTCCAAGGATCCAAATTCCGATCCCCCCAAAGCACGACACTGCGGAGTCCTCCGCCCTCCGAAGCGACAACGGAGCGCTCTCGGCACGCGGCAGCATGAGATGATGTGGTTGCGCTAGAATCCTTCCAGAAATCACCCACAGTCCAAAGCGCGCGCTGAAACTTTTGCGGCTTGCCCAGGTGATGACGGCGCCGTCACTAGGCAGACAGGCTCGCTCCAGCCGTGCTTATTTTTCTTCTTCAGAGGGGCCAAAAAAGGGATATACCCAAGTTTGTCCAAGTCCAAGTGGTTGGCGAAGCGGAAAGGAACGAATTGCGCGGATGGAGCATGAATGAGTTTACGAGGTGGCGTTGTGTAGGCCGCTAGGCGTCAGAAAGATGATCTTCGCTCCATGCGCATCTATGACGGATCATGGTATTTTTAGAGGGTGTCAGCATGCAGGAATATCTTGATTACCGTCGAGGCCGGTTTCTCATCCCATGTGAGGACCAGGATTGCCTTGCCGTGTATGCACTGGAGGCTACATCGGGCATGATACGACGACAATTCAGCTGAGCAGCGGACAGAAGCCGTCTGTGGCTTTTCCAACCAGCTCCTGTCAAGGAAATTGGACGAAAACCAGATGGTAATTCCATTCTCAACAATTCAACAAACCCAATAACCAGAGATGGGCAAACGCCATTAGGATGTGTGATCTCTTGCGTTAGCGGCGAAAGCCTCTCTAACTAGCCCCGAGAGCCGAGAGATGCTCGTTCTTGTTAATTGGCAGGCTGATTGACACATCTCCGAGGACGCTGCAGCTGGTTGACTCCTCAGCCTGCCTAAAAGTCGGAAGCTGAAGTACCTACTAGCGGTAGGTAGATATTATAAAGTCGTCCCGGGCTTCGTACAAGTGATGAGTGCATTATCCGCAGCACGCATCGTAAACGACGGGATACAGTACAGCTACAGCCCCCCCTTGCATCAGTGCTAAGAGGCAACGGTGGCTCAGCGTGGCATTCAAGTCGGCATTTGGCTTCTCCTCTTTGCAGTAGCTTTGAATTAGAACCAGATTCGCCAGATTTACCACAGCCAGGTATGAGCATCGTGCCTGTCCCTCCGTTCTCACCCGCCGCTCTGATCACGCGGGCTATAAGCGTTTCAACAGTGTGATGAAGAGCTCGACAAAGCCTTTGGCACTCGGCCACATGATTGATTACGTCGGTTCGGGTTTTGCATCAGTCGGGAAATATTACCATCGTGAAAAAACCCGGGCACAGTCATCGTGATCTCCCCCTAGAATAATCCTCACGGCGGGCTTGCCGGCCTGAATTCAACGTGGTTGGCTGAAAGATGGCTCCGCGCCAGGGGAACACCACTTTTCCTGCCCCCATAGTTTTTATGTCGTGGAGTATCCCCGCGATGGGGTCGAAGAAATTAGAAGGGATCAGCAATTCACTCTTCGGTGAAGTGAGACTACCAGAGCCCATGGAACGCCACCAATTGACCAATGTGAGGAGAGCAAGACGCCTCGACCGGACTTCCGGCACGACGACGGGCTGCGTCCTCGTGCACCTTGTCGTCCATTCTGCAGCGGCTGGCAAATGCGTTCCGAGACAGCGCGCATATCGTCGCCTCATGCATTATTGGTCAGTTATAGAAAGAATAAGAGGTCATATGTGGCTTGAACATGTAGACTAAGTACTGCCAGGTATGAGCTGGCAGTTGGCTCGCTGAGAAGCAAGCAAGCAAACAAACAAGAAACAAGAAACAAGCGAGAGTCGCAGTCCATCAGATCTGCAGCAGGCAACGCTCCGTCTCGACCGACCAATGGGATGCGAACCTCTGCATTTGAAAGGTGGGCTTCTGGCTGATCAATGCCATACCTGCTTGCTATCCCGCAGTTGCATCCGCCAGAGGCGAGACACGACACGCGAATGATTGTTCGCCAAGGGCAGTGAGACAGGTTAAGCTTAAACCAAGTCTGTCGTCAATTGCGTTTTCGGTGCACAGAACGGCGGAGAAGAGCCCAGATTGTCCAGGGATGGTCGAGGACGCCAGCGCTGGGTAGCTGAACGTAGAGGATGTCGGCTGCATCAAGCCCCAGGCCTCAGGTCGTGCAAAGACACCTGAACGGGCAAGGAGCGCCTCGAGATTTGCAGCTAGGGAGTTTGGCCAGGACACTGCATCGTTTGGGGGCTGCAATACGGCACTAAATACGAGGCGGTTCCTAGGGCTTTTACACGACCAGTTGTTGCTGGCAGCAGGTTGCAGAGCGGTACTAAGCCGCTGTAAACCCGCGTCGATGTATACGTGCAGATACGTGCATTCATTCGTCGTCGTCTTGTAAACGGTAGGTCCATGTATCTGTGTCTCTGTGTCCGAGTCTGCCATGCCTGCATGTCGGACCATCGCTTGCCCCGCAAAGCCGCCTTTGGGGTACCGTAACCAGCGGCCTTGAGTGGGATGGGACGAGATGGATGGCTCTTGGCAGCAGCCGCCGGTTGTCGGTGTCCTCAAACGTGGCTGCTGCTGATCATCGTGCTGTATTCATCAATGATGCTAGAAGAAAAATTTTCTGCTTCTCTTCTTCTCTGCCCCTTGTATCGCTTTCAATGTCAATATTCGCTCATCCGTGCTAGCGAATGGTGATGCTGTCGTGAGTGCACTACGCAGCCAGCGGCTGGCCCTACCCCTGGCAGCACAGGGAATAATAGCGACCATGGCTGGCTAGGTGACGGCTTAGCATGTACGGCTCCAGCGCCTAAGGTAGGTACGCTAATACTAAGGTGACAGCTAATGCGCAGATGCGGATATTCCAGGCGGGTAAAGAAGAGCGAAGCCAAGTCAGAAATGTCAAGTCGCACGCGGCATGCGGCACGGCCATTGATGCGTGCCGTCCTTGTACTGTGTAGACGCTGCAGCGGCGGCGCGGGTCCACAAGGAGGAGCTGGCTGGCTGGAATTGGCTTCTCAGGTGCGGCGATGAAAATTTCAATCCCAAGCCGTGCCTCCAGTCTGTTGCAGCCCGGTGGAGCGCGGGTGGTGGGGGAAGGGCAGCGGCAGTCCAACCAGGCGCCGGCGACGCAGCAATAAGCAGAGCGTGGCCATTCCACTCTGTGTTCGTCTCCAGGGCCCCTAGCCCAGAGACAGTCCTAGCAGTCTGGGCCGGGCGACCACCTGACCGTCGGCTGGCGAGACTGGATCGAGGCGGAAGCCAACCGGCGCTGCGTCCTGGCATCCACCGCACACCCACTCGCATGGACACATGGTTGGCCGATGCTAGCACATGCGAGGGCGCAGCCTCTACAGCGTTGGGGACCTACGGGGCAGCGAGAAGACGACGGCATGGCCAGAACGGCGGGCGGTTGACGCTGGAAGCCAGGACGGGATGCTGCCAGTCTGCCTCTGCGTCCGCTCGGGTCTGGGGTACATACAGTGAGTGTGCCAGGCCGCAGCGCATCTGCCTCGCCCGGCCGTGGAAGGCTTCCGCGAGTCCTCGTTCCCGTGAGACGCCGGTGGACGCCGCTTCTCGTGGTGGCACGGCCGGCCAAGGATGCAGCAGAGCGTCCCCCGTGCATGCAGCTGGACGGCTCACGTCTCACAGGTACCCGTGCCGGCGCTCTGCCAGCTTTGCCTCGCATCCTTTCAGTGCCTTGCCCTCTCTGGCCCAGCGCCAGCGCCAACGCCGAGCTCGCTCGCCGCTCCACCAGCCCATCGGCCGATCCAAGCCAGCCAGTCACCAGCAGGCCGAGAGTCCCCAAGTCCCCAAGTCCCAAGTCTACTCGCAAGTCCAAGCCAGGCTGGCCGCACCCCGTCGACGAGCCAGGCCCAGCCTCAGCGCACCCATCAGACAGTTAGTGGCTAGTCGTGAGTCGCAGGCGCCAGAGCGGCCGCGGACGCTCTCCATAAATGGCCACAAATGGCCATAAAGACGGGGGGCCAGCACCGGCGCAGACGTTGCCGCCGCAAAAGCTGCTGGCTCCCCTCTTCTCAATTCCCATTACATAAAAGAAGTCCCGGCGCCGTTTCCCACCAGCTTCTCGAGCTTCTGTATCTTCGACGACCCTCTCGGCAGCCTGCAAATAATCTTTCTGCAAGTGCGGGCTCCCGTCCCTTATCTCGCTGCTGATATATTTTTCTTACGTTTCCGCCCGCCAGGCGCATTCTCGGCCTCTCATAGGCGCCACAGACGCGCTGCCGAACGCCTATCTCTCTGGTCGTCGTCTTGCGCCCAAAGGACCCTGCAATTGCATTCGCCCGCCGCCTAATCTTGCTGATAACAGCGTCTTTGGCGAACCAGAGACCACCCTTCGCCGGCCATCCCTCTGATAGCTTGCCGCCGCTTGTTGACTCCAGGACGTCCCACCCCTGAGACGACGTCACAGGACGCTGTTTTGTCTTCTTAGAATCGACGGGGCGCTTGCCGCAGCGCGGCTGTCGTCTCCCAGGGCCAACCACGAGGCATGGCCGACAAGATGTCCATCGACACCAAGCCGCCGAACCCTGACCGGGACGAGAGCGAAGAGTCGACTGGTTCCACCCCGGAGAGGGAGCAGAACCCGTCCATGACTGCCGGCAGCGGCAGCACCATCATCAACGTCTCCCAGGACGGCCAGCAGCCCAAGAGAAAGGGTGGCCGCAAGCCTGTAAGTGCCTTTGTCCAGCTTGTCTCTATTCTACCTTGCACGCCATCCCAAACATTCCCTATCCATCCATACCTGGGCAGGGTACATCATGAGCACATACATGCCTTCATGCACCTTGGCACATAATACTAGTTGCACCACTGCTACCACTACCGCTACCCCTCATCCTACCCTTCCTCCAAACCAACAGCTGCCATGCAAGCTTCGTTTCCGCCAGCTACCTAGGTGTCATGCCATCTGGTAGGATACCAAAACCAATACTTCCTCAAAGACGTGTACCTACAATGACTTGCACACAAATTGCGGTTTGCCGCAGGAGAGCCGCACGGGTGGCCGCGGCCTTGAATTACCTGTTGCGGTAACTCGCTTCAACCCCATGCTTGTTTCTTGTACAACACCAACCTCACGCCACATAATGGCGAAGCCATCATTGCGCTCGTTGTTAACGCATGCCTTGACTACACAGATCTATGCCACTTCGGAAGAACGCAAACAGCGCAACAGACAAGCGCAAGCTGCCTTCAGAGAGCGTCGCACTGAGTATATCAAACAACTCGAGGAAACCATCCGCGTCCATGAGTCCAACTTACACAATCTGCAGGCGGCGCACCGCACTGCCGCTGAAGAATGCCTGATGCTGCGATACAAGAACTCGCTTCTCGAGCGTATCCTCCTTGAAAAAGGTAGGCTGTCTGACCATTTCTTACGTACTCGACAACTAACACTCTTCGCTTGCAAGGCATCGATGTCCAGGCCGAACTGCAAGCCAAAACCGGCAGTCCCAACTTGGCGCCCACTCATATGCCGCAGAATCTGGTCCAGCCGCCTCCTCTTCAACGTACCATGATGCACCGACACCACGCGCGCAAGTCTACCTCCAGCATTGCGCCCAAGACCGAACCCGGCACAGCTCTTCCACCACCTCTGCAGCCTCATAAAACCGCGCCATCACCCAAGAATCGACCAACGCCCTCATCTCATGCCAATTCCCCCATGGCGACAAGCTCGGCATTCTCTCCCGCAGCCTCGGATACCTTGTCTATGAGAGGTTCGATTTCTGGACTGTCTCGTCAGCAGATGACACCCATCTCCATCACCACCCCTTCGTCGAGGCAGCCACATGCACAGGCCGGGTCGAGGGCCGCAATGGGCTCCGGTGCATCATTCTATCCGACACCTTCCTTCCAGAATCACATTGAGCAACTTGGTAAGAGATGTCAAGATTTGATAAACGACTGCGAATTGCGTGTGCGTGTGTTGACTAATGCGACGATTTACAGAACAAGAATACGAAGCCGATATGGTTGATGATTCAGAGATTGAGACACCAAGCGGTCCCGGCCCATACCCTGGCGGTTTCAACGGCGAGCAGCAAACGATGCTTCTCTCTCCAGCCTCCACCGGGCCCGGGCATCAGGTGACAACGGGTTCTCAGTACCCCTCAATGTCTCAACTTTTGGACCAGAACGCAGACTGGGGAGATCCGTTTGGTCTCAGCGCCAGCATGGCTTTTCCGGCTCAGCCTTTTCCGTTCGACCAGGCACATATGAGGTGATTTGCAGCTATGTGACATCCGTCGGATGGCCCTGAGTCTGGGCATCGCCTATAAAGCGGCGGTGTGGCGGGACTCGTTTAATCCCACCTAGGGCTGAATCTTGACACTTCCTCGGAGCCGAAATACTTTCTATTCTAGTTTGAGTGATTGTATAAGGTGCATGAGCGTAAGATGGACGTCTCATCTCAAGATTTAGGCTCATTGCGGAAGCTGGTCGCGTTCCGAAGCGGATGGCCAAGCATGGACCTCCCTGGGCAAGATTAGTATGATGTGCGTTCCAAACGCTCCGGATTCATTAGGACGCGAGAGCCCTGTTGGTTCTCCTTACACCTGGTCGATCCGGCTAAATTTTGTACTCCCCAGTCCCGCGTCTGACAGAATGTGGAGAAGCGAATCGAAATGCCGTCGTGGATTTTTTCGAACTCTGTTTGGTTAACAGCCCCTGGTTGTTCTTAATGCCTATGATCATGGGGACCATTGAGACAAAAATTTTATACCAGGATAACCAATGGACTGCGGGTATACCTCACGTATTCCACGAATCACTAAGCGTTGATTTTCATTCTACAAAAAAAAACTATAATTTAACTTTAGCCCACGATATACGAAGCATCACTTTGGTGGCATGGCCCATGTCTTCGGGCTTCTTCTCTTAGCCCAGTCCGAGAACGACGACGTGGTGGATATACCCATTGTACCATTGGATTGATGTTACTAAATATTTTAATACGGAGAAATGGAAATTAACAAGGCATGAAAAAAAAAAAGCGAAAAGGGATTTTTGGTACAGAAAAGTTATCTTTTTATATGGCTGTCACGGGCGTTGCTTTCTGGCGGCTAAACATTTGAGAAAAAAGACATACAAAGAGAAGGCACAGGAAAAACAAGTGCCAAAAGGGCACAGGAAAACATCCGTATGAACAAGAAGAATACTAGGACCGATAGCATGATTTAAACGAATATAATGCATGTAAGCTGACATTTTATTTCTCCTTTGGTCTGCATGGATGGGTGTGCGTCATTGCATTTTCTTCATGCTTATTTGCCCGTGTAATATTCCATGATTGTACATGTACGACTTTACGTCTTCCCTCCTTTTTAGGCAAAATCCGAAAGAGATGGATCTCCGTCGGACTAGAAGGGAGGAGGACAATGATCGGGGAGGTCCAGATCCGAAATGAATGCTAGGTAATACTAGTGATTATCTTAAGTGAGTGATTCTGCATGTATCTGATTGTGATCCCGAGCGATTCCAAGTTGAGATGATCAAGATCTAATTCGATTTCTACTCCTAGTAAAGATGTCATGTAGAAGCTAAGATAATCATGAGGTATATATCAAAGTAAGTGATTGCGAAAATCTAAAAAAAAAATGCTTTCAAATCGTTAACATGAGTCATGAAGCATCCGTATGCGCTTTTGGCCACCCTTTATCCAAACTGCGTAAAGCACGTAATGCCGCTCCAACAGTCGCCATTTGAGAAATGATTAACGATACGAGAAGAAGAAAAAAGGAGGAGGGCAGACGGGAAGAGTCCCGCCAGAGCTACTACCCAACGAGCAGTATGTATCCGTGTTTCTTATAACGATCCACGATCATCCTCCCATGGATCAACTACAGATATCGATTTTTATTGTATGTTAGCTGGTCATCATTCATCATCTCATAAACAGACATCCCTCTCATTTCCGAGAAACTGACGCTCTTCAGTCCTTCATCAAACGACCAACAACCAGAAAACACTGCCCAGGCACAGGGTCCATGCCCATGCCAGGCTGCTCCCAACGTCAGCTCCGGCCATCCGCGTGGCTGTGCTACTTGTATTCCACAGCATGGTAGCAACTCCCGCCTCGGTCACCTCATCGATGCTGCACACCACTTTACATTGCCCAGCGGCATCCGTGCTGCGCCGGAGCAGCTCTCCTCGCGGACCGATATCTCGGCTCCGTAGCGGCTGACTGCTGGGGTCTCGCCTCTTTGAGGACGTGGAGTCGGATGAGGTGTTGTATATCATCTCTATCCACTGGATTTGCAGATTTGCCTGATCGTACAGCGTCATGTTGCCGCTCCAGCTGCCGCCGTCGCTCCAGGCGTTGAAGTTGATGCCTGAAGGGCCCGACGGCACCTGGAAGCTGATGTTTGCGACCTGCTGGCCGTCGACGTACCAGACGCTGCTCTGGGCGGTCCAGTCGAGGCGGTGGACGGCCCATTGGCTCCAGATCATGTCATTTGGCAGCGTGACGTTCTTTGTGGCGTCGGGGTTGACCTTGTTGTTGCTGGTAAAGGAGGGCTGGTTGGTGTACTGGATCTTCTCCCGCGGCCCGCGAGTCAGCACCTCCATGTCGGCCTCTTGCACCGCAGACGTCGAGTTGGGGTCGCGATACGTGAAAAAGGCCGTGACGGCACCCGGCCCGCCAATCGTCCGGGCGAGCATGCGCAGCGACACAAACTGGTAGTCGGACGTCTTGGTCTGGAAGGCCGCGGCGGACTGGAACTTGGGCAGCCGCTGGGTGCGCAGCGTCATGTACGTCGCCGACGCGGCGTCGCTGTCGTTGTTGCGCTGGATGTAGACGTTGCCGGGCGAGTAGACCATCAGCACGGATGCCGCGCCGGACAGGCCCTTGCCTTTGCCCTCGCTGTTGCTCCATCCCTGGGGCTGCCACACGCTGGTCCACGCGCTGCTGGAGAAGTACTCGCTCGTCGGCTTGGCGATGGTGGCGAGCGTCTCGTTGGTGATGAGCGGCGGGATGCCGGCGTCCTTGGTCAGGTTGCGGAAGTCGAAGAACAGGTGGTTGGCGAAGTAGTCCGGCTGCGTGCCGTTGGTGAGGAAGCAGTCACAGAGGGAGTCATTGCCGTTGGGCAGAGGCTGGGGGCTACTGCTCTGGCTCTGGCTGGCGGCGGCGAGGCATGGGAACAAGATGGGGAATAGTATTACGAGTGCTGTGAGTGGTGGCAAGGGAGAGCGGGAGGGCCAATGCATGGTGTTGAGCGTTTTGGAAAAGTCCAGACTACCGAGAACAAGAAAGGAATGAAAATAGTAACAATACTGGAAACGATGCTGCTCTTTCAATGGGTTTACAGCTTCGAAGCCCTTCTCAGTAGCAAGTGAAACGAGGCATCAAGACATTCATCATCTGTCCAACAACCAACACGGCTCGAGAACGATGAGAGGAAATGAGAACAAGGAATAAAATAAGCAGGAAACAGGAGCACGAAGGATCAATCAGGCCATGCCTATCGCGTGCCGTACCTGGGCCTGTACAGTACCTGTATGCAATAGGCAATGTGGGCTCTTCAGCTTGCGGAATCCCGATGAACTGATCGCTGTTGGGCTGTCACATTTTGACGGCTTACCGCGATGCATGGGCTCGTATTTGCGGTTCCAGTGGAGTGAAGAGGAATCGACCTCCGTTGAGATCTGCGCTATTGCAACGGCAGCTTGCTTCTAGGGGCCGGTGGCGCTATTCTAGGCAGCTCAGTGGTCTCTAGTGCTGCTCAGCTGTCAAGTGCTCGGATTATCGGTTTTCCCGAGCATCGCCCAGACCCATCTGCCCACTTGTTGCCTTGCTCCTTGCATAGCCTCGGACCTCCATACCTACAGACATCCATCATCAAAGCGAACAAAGCAAATATTCTGCTTGCGAGGAACAAGTGCGACAATTCTCTTTCGCCGTGTGCCTTTGATGTTCTTGTAACGCGAAAGGAAAAAGGGCGGAACAAACAATAAGCGACTTGTAGCAATTGAACCTCTCTTTGTCCCCGCCTGCTAAGCTCTAGGTGCATAAGTATCATGTTGATCATGGCAATTTCAGTATACTCACGGTTGCAGATGACTTTAGATACAACAAGAACAAGATAAAAAAGCAAAAAGGCGACCAATCCATCTATCCATCTATCCATCATGTCGTCGCCAAGTGCCGCTTCTGCTCCCGTGGAGGAGCAGAAGGTCGAGTCACCATCAGCAGTACTCGACTCTGCCCAAGAAACCGCAAAGGATGAGCGTCTTGACGACGACGGCACCACGGTCGAGGCTGGAGAAGTGACCGACGAAGCTGAATCTGAAGCAGCAGAACCCGGTGCCAAATCTGCCGACAAATCACCAGGAGAGTCATCATCTCCTGATGCTGGAGAAGCGCCGCCCCTGCCGAACGAAGCTGTTCCTGATGGCCCGCCCCTACCGAATGAACCAGTGCCACAGAAGCCAGAAGATGACGGATGGGATTGCCAGTGGGATGCGAATAGCCAATCGTGGTTCTTCTATAACCGGTTCACGGGCAAGACTCAGTGGGAAAACCCTCGAATGCCAGACGCAAACGCTGCGACCACCTCGCAAGGGGTAGCGCCGCAGCCGCCTTCTGATGAGAAGCCTGTTGCGGGCGGCTACAACCCTGCCATTCATGGCGACTATGATCCAAACGCATGGTATGCCAAGAATGACGAAGATGAAAGTGCGTCTGCTGGCTTCGCTGGCGATCCCGCCGCCATCTATGGTGCTACAGCCTCTTTCAACCGCTTCACTGGGGCCTTTCAGTCCGGTGATGCTGGTCCTGAGCGACACTCCGACGAAGCCAAGGCTAAGCGTCAGATGAACGCGTATTTCGACGTGGATGCCGCGGCAAACGCCCATGGTGGCCGCAGCTTGAAAGCTGAACGCTCAAACAAGAAGCTGACCAAGAACGAGCTAAAGGCCTTCAAAGAGAAGCGTCGGGCTAGGAAGGAAGAGAAGCGCCGAGCTTGGCTGCGCGATTGAACACAATCTTCTCTATATTCTCCTCTTTCTAATGGGTTTCTACTTACTTGGTCTGGCTCTCTTACATGGCATTGGATTCTTCAACTCCCCCAATCTACTTCATATTGGGGGAAGCATATTACTTTCTAATTTGGCAGATTTCTCAGCTTGAAATTTTCTCGAAACATACAGCGGCGTTGGAAAAAAAAGTGGGGGTTGCGGATGGCCTATTATTATTATCTTGGTTGTAATCATGTTTCTTGTATGATTACCCAGTGGTGTTTACGTCTGGCTTTATAACTTTTTGCTTCATTCCTAACTTTACCTCGTTAGATTCATTAATTTTTCTTGGAAGGACTAGGTTGGTTCTTCGAATAGGTTTGGGAACATGGATTAGATTACTTTCGTATATTACATATCCAAAATATACTCGATTACAAGGCTCGTGCCGCGTTCCTCTAGCCCCCTTTTATTTCTTTGCTCTTTTGTGACATGCCCTCCACTTTGCATATTCTATTCGTCTTCATCTTCATCCTCGTCATCATCTTCCAGTTCCATATTTAGATGCACACTTGCTTCGTCATCGCTATCTGATTCTTCAATGTCCTCCTTTGCTTGCGATACAGCAGCAGGGAGAATAGCAACCCCTGAGTTTTCGATCTCCTGTCTCTTGGGATTCAGGGGAACATCAGAGCCCTCGTGCTTTCTCTTGGGCGGAGATGATGCCCTCTCGGTGGTGTTAGAAGCCCGGGGTTCAAAGGGGTTGGGTGCGGAAACCGAAGCAGCGGTAGTGGTAGTGCTCTGGATAGGCAGATCAGCCTTGGTATCAGCTGTGGATGAGGTCGCCTCCTTCTCCGGAGATTTATTCTCGCCATCTTGATCTTGCATTTCTTCATCTTGCGGGTGCTCCTCCTCCTCTTCTTCCTCGTCAATTTGCTGGAGCTCTGCAACTTCGCTTAGCGAGGCAAACATTTCGCTTCCGCCGGCCCCCGAAATGCCGCTAGTGCGCAGGTTGCTGCGGAGGATTTCCAGGCCTTGGTCGCGCGGGAACTGCTGCGCCAGATGGGACAGGATGCTGGGGTACATTCTGCCGTTGTGGTCTCGGTACGGGTTGAGGACGCTGGCGAGCATGCCGTCGCGGTTGCGGGTGAGGAAGGCTGTCTTGTCGAGGCTGCCGCGCATGACGGGCTTGAGGTGGGATTGCGGCAGCAGGGACAAAAAGGCCGTGAGGAGCTCATTGGCTATCTTTTTGTGGTCGGGTTCCAGGGTGACTGGTGGCTCGATGGCTGCGGCGGCGGTTTGGGGCTGGAGGAAGAGGTCGGTGTTGACTGTGCCGGTGCTACTCTTCGCGCCTTTCCCGGTAGTAGTATTGGAGGTGGCAGGAGGTTTGTCGGCGGATTTTAACAATCCAGCATCTTGTTGAAGGTCTCGGCAGCATGCTCCGAAAAAGGGGTCCAACATATCCACGGCAGGTTTGGATAGTGTTGGTCCGGCAAGCTGCAGTATGGCGTTCAAGGTTGTGTATGCTGCTATCCGAACTGACGGGATGCTCATGCCAGACTTGAAGACACGGATAAGGTGATCCAAGATTTCAGGGACTAGGGGTAGCATGTGTCTTTGCAGTCTTTGGAAGAGAGAAGCGGCGAGCCTCAATGCCGCTACGTGAATGTCGGGCATCAAGCTCCACAGCTCTTCCTTTTCTTCTCTACCAATAGAGGCATTGGTTTCGACAGCCTGCTCCCAGGACTGAGATTTCGACAATCGAGCAATCAGGCAGACTCTTGAGATGGTGTCCACAAGGCCGCTGATGGGAACATTAACCGCCGTCTTGGTGGGATAACTCAGCAAATCGCCCAGAAACTCAAAGAGGCCAATCAATCGGTCAGCGCCGGCAGCGAGGCCAGACCAGCGAGGCAGATGATCCGTAGAGCTGCCTTCGCCGTGTGGCTCCCCATCAACTTTAACCTTGGATCGTGTGCGGCCACTGGTTGCTTCCCATGATTCGTCAACGGCTCGGAGGACCTGGTCGGCGGTGGTGTGAAACTCTTGAAGAATGCCATCAATGAGCTTCACCCATTCATCGCTGCCACCTGCTTTGGCCGCAACGAAGTGGAGAGAGGCCACGAGGCGTCTGGCAGCCCGTTTCAGAGCTTCTGGGACGCTGATTTCATCCGAGCAGGTGGGCGCAATATAGGGTCCGACAGCAGTGCGGACTTGAGAGCTGAAGGGGCGGAAAGTAGGTGGGTAGAGGGGAATCAGAGTTGAGAACGATTCGCAGATGGTTTCAATCAGGTTCATGGGCGCGAGTGCAAATTGTGCTTCACCCTTTTGCTTAATTAGCTGCACGCATGCCGTTGCAAAAGCCGGGAGCGTAGGTGTCGCAACCTCTCGGACAAGAGTCTGATAAGGATGAACGAGCATGTAGATTTTTGTGAGAGTCACAATAGCCAGCTCTTTGGCAGCTGGAGGATCTCCTTTCTATAGTGTCGATTAGCTTTTTAGAACAATAGATTGATATATCCACATGACGGATGAGAATGCCATACCTGGACGATAGAGAGCAGTCCGCACACCCACGCAGCAGAGCCTCGGAGCGTCTCCCATCCGCCAACGTCAACAGCCGCCTTGACCAGGCCAATCGCAACGAACCTGCCCTCGCGGCTTCGCCCATTCAAGAGCGTCGTGATGCTTGTTTTGAGCTTGTGGACGAGCATGGAACTTTGGGATCCATCGCCCTTGGCTTTGGGGTCTTGAGGGGCGGATAGAGCATCGCGGCATCGAAGGACGTGGCGGATGAGCGAAGGGAGAGAGTGAGGCAGCTGAGCCGGCGGGATGGAAGTGAGTTTCCGGGTGAGGACCCGGAGGTCTGTGGTGAAGGCTGATGAAGACATTTGGTGCCGGTTTAGGTATGTGATTCGTATGTTGCCGGTGAAAAAGCGACAGAGAAGCAGAATTCTTTGTTCTGCGTGTAGTTGATGTTGATATACGGACACTCGGCCTACAACAAGGCAGAGAGAGCGAGAGCAAAACCCGCCACCCGCTGAATGCGACGTTTGTAAAATCCAGAAAAATCGAACCAAATATCGTCAAGAGTATATTTGCAGCAATTATCGCCAATTGGCCCTCAGACACATCACTTTGCAAAAGCTTCACCTCCAACATGCAGCTTTCATCTGCTGCTTGCCAACGGTGAACTTTTTTTTTTTTTTCCCTTGCCCATACAGGCAAGGTTCAGGTACCTTGTCGGTCGCCGTGGGGCTCGCTGCTGCGCCGCTGATTGGCCCGCTGTGGATTTCCACATGCCCACTGCAGCGATTGGGATTAGGCATTCAATGTTAGTGCACGTCGCAATCACAGGAGGCACAGGCCAATTTACAGGTGCTGCGACCGCTACCAATTAGGTGCCATTTTGCTGGACCCTGCCTGGAGCGTGGCCCAATCTTAGGCCACTCTTTCACTGCGCCTGTATTAGTCGTACAGCCACGAGCTTCGACCGCTGCACTACGTCAAGGGTCTTGATTTGCCTCTGCCACATGGTCCAGCCGCCTCCCTTTGAACGCTGTCCATCTCCCCTTTTCCAAGCCTGTGATCGCGACTCCTTCTTTTGCGTCGAGGCGGCTGGCTGTCAGAGCCTGTGCTAAACTCACCCGTGACACTGGCAGCTTCTTTTTTTTGCGCCTCTGCTTTGGAGCTGCATATATGCGTGTGTTGGGGAGGCTAAACAGCTGCGAGCCACCATTCCTAGAACTCGATCTCCCACCCCTGAGCTTGTCGCAAAATGGCTGTAAGGCACTGCCGCCGAAACAATGGATGACAACACAATGCTAATCTGCATCTTTCTCTTGCCCCCGTGTTTAGGCAAAGGCAGCTCGCTATGCTGAATCGTTGGACGACGTCCGCTGCGAGGGCAACTGGTCAGACGTCCCCGAGCTGGTTCGCAAGGTCCGCAAACACGATCCAGCGCGAGAATGTGCGTCATCGCCCCCCCAAGATCCGATCGTCGAGTGCACAAGGAAGCTAATTGCCAACGATTGGCCCATTCGCAGGTCTTACATTGACCGCCGAATCAGAATGCGTCATCTCCAACGTAACAGCCGCCGGCGACCAACTGGCCGATCTCGACGTCCCTAACCGACTTCCGAAGCTCATGGCTGTGATTGAAGCCGAGACAAATTCCACCGAAGAACGATTCCAGGCCCAAGTGTGTGTTGGATGGATGCATTGGGTCGTTGGGGAATACGCGCTGGCGCTGGAACGGCTACCCAAGAGTCTCAACGAGCAGTATCCGGACATTGACCCGGCCAATCCAGCTTCGGAATGGACCAGCGTGTGTGCTCTCAAGGCTGCCTATCTCAGGGCTAATTGCCTAATGAGAGACGGCCAAAGATTACAGGCGCTGGAAGCACTGCAGGCGGGCCTCCCGTCTCTGGACCGAGTGTGGTGTGGCCATGGCATCCGTAAGCAGCTGCGGTATTGGTCAGAACTGTTCCTCACCGAGCACTGTATGCTCACCAGCGACGCGCTCCACAACAACGAGTTTTCCTTGGATGACCCCAACTCCATTGCCAGCTTTCGATCTTGGGCAAGGTACTGGAAAATTATGTCAGCCCCCGTCACGGGCGGCTTTGGCTTCAAAGGCGCTGTGCCTCGAAGAAGGATATGGCACGAATATTATCTGGCCCTGTCTCGAATCCTGGAGAACGACCTGCCTTATCCACCTGGGCAAGCTGAAAAGATGGTGGAAGACATGTCAGCTCGAGGCCAGTTAAGAGTTGAGATCCAGCGTGCAGAGTCCGCCTATCAAGCTCTCCTGCTAGGCGAGACAGCTTTTCCACGAGCAGATGAAGAGCGTGCGGAAATCGAAACATTCGTCAAGCAAGTCATGATGAACTGGTCCATATTGTGTGGTCGTGGGTGGAGTGAGCAAGATCTGGGCCAAGGAGGCCGGGATCTTCTCAGCCGTAGCGTGCTCGATACCTTGTACAATGCTGCCACAAGGACGTACCACTCGACATCCATTCTTCGATCCCTATTCCTCGTCCATTTGTCAGTGGCCGAGTTCGACCTAGCGTTCAAGGCGCTCGACTCTTACCTAGATATTGTTAAAAAGGGCAGAGCGCGTGTTGCAAAGACAGGACACGCAGAGCCGAGTTTGGACGACGACAAGACCGCTTTGGAGACTATATCACAGGCAATCATGATTCTTTGTTCATACGGGCATCAACAAGCCGCAGAAAAGGCCCGACATTTGGGCACCGAGCTGGAAGACTGGCTTTCTAAACTTCCACACTCTAATCTACAAGAGAACGGCACGCCCGTCATTGTAGAGGATAAAGAAGAGATCGAAGTACCAGCCAGCGCTCCGCCTCCTCAGACCATTGCCCTTGCATGGCAAGCTATTGGGCTCGGCCATGCTCACTGGTCTCGAGTAGCGGCCGATGCTGGGTCGAGGGCTGAGATACAGTCCAAAGCAATCAGATGCCTTCGCCGGTCTTTGGCTCCCGAGTATGGCCGCTCAAAAGATGTCAGGAGCTTTTTCGCTCTTGGCCTTTTGTTAGCTGAGCGACGCGAGCTAACGGCAGCTATAGAGCTTGTCAGGTCTGCATTAATAGCTGTGCATGGATTCGAGGAAGACTACAATCTCTTCTATGGGCCTTACTGGCAAGAGAGGTCTCTTATTCCCTTGTGGCATCTCCTATCTATCCTCTTGAGCGCGCGACAAGACTACGTAATGGCAGCAAGGACGTGTGAAGGTGCTTTGGACCAATTCAAAGATCCAACCATTCTCCTTGGAAAAGCAGAAAATCGTTTCCGCAGCGAGCACCTCAAGGACGTTGAAACTAAAAACTTGCCTCCAAGAGGACTCGTTGATGACATGAGTGATGAGGAAAAGATCGGCATCATGGACGTCAAGATGACACAGCTCGCCTTGGTTGAGCTCATGGAAGGGCCAGATGTTGCTGTGAATGCCAGCTCGGAGCTGTTGACCCTGTTTTCACGACTGTTCGGTAGTATCGAGGTGCAGCAGCCGGCACTCAGACCCCCCGTTATTGCAGAGCCGCCAAGGACCTCGCGCACTTTCAAGGGTAGCATTTTCGGATCGCGAGTTGATAGGTCAAGGCAGGCAAGCAACCAAAATCTAGGAGAAAACTCCTCGACTCTACCTGCTCGCCCTACTACGTCTCACACTACTGCTGCTGCAAGTGTTGCTCCGGCGGTTCAAGTGACAGCAGAAAATGGACACACAAGATCAAGAAGTGGCAGTTTGGGCACTCAGGCGCGAAGGAGCGAGTCCGGAAGAAGAAACAGTTTAAAGAAAAAGTCAAGAAGCGGCAGTCAACGACGTAGATCCTCGAGCGCAGGCGGCGCTTCACATCAATCTGCGATGATCGGGGACTCTGATCTGGCTGGCCAGGGCCACGACTTCTTCTCAGCATCTGGCCGACGTCTGCAGACTCGGATGGCAAGCTCCTCTCGTGGAAGGACAATTTCCTCGCTAAGCTCAAACCTCACCAACAGTTCCAAGCTGACTGAGGATTCAGAGCTGTCAGTCGACATCAGCTTTACACTACCTCAGCTACTACCTCTTATCAAATTCCCAAGAGAAAAGGAGAGGCGCCAGCGGACAACGGTTTTAGTTAAAGTATGGCTGATGATTGCTGGATTCTATCGACGAGCGGGATTATTGGACGAGTGCAAAGGTGCCGTGACTGAAGCTCAGAAATTGATTCAGACGCTGGAAAGCGACTTTGCTAAAGAACTTTCTCTTGGACCAAGCTCTACTAAAGGTCCGGCTTGGGGCGAGAAGAAGAGTATCGATGAGTTATGGGGTGACCTTTACTCTGAGGTGAGTAGTGCAGACTTCTTTGTCGTGGATTATAACATGGATTGCTAACATGACATCTAGCTGGGTTTGATATCGTTGGCTAAACAGATGCCATACACGGCCAGGACCGACTTTGAGTCAGCCTTGACACACTATCCCGATCATCCTGCCGCCATTGTCGGCCTATCCAATATTTTGCTTGATATCTATAGCGAGAAGCTGCTCCCCACACCTTCTATTCCGCCTTTGGATGGACACGAGTTTTTAGACGACGCGAGTCATCAAAGAACTGAACCTCCGTCAGGTAGCCTCAAAAATCTTCCATATACCCCTCTGGGACTCGCATCCGATCCATCTACGGTTGAAGTTCCTAGCCCTAGCGAAGAAGACGAAAAAGAAGAATCCAAAGCCGCAGGCTCTGGTAGCGATTCTCAAGAGGAGGACGAGCTTCCCGCGCCATACAAGGCCTCTCATCTGCCGCTTATAGATCGACTAGCCGCGCGCGATCGCGCTTTTACGCTATTATCGGGCCTCACTCGCCTCGGTACGGGATGGGACTATTCCGACGCATGGTTCGCACTCGCTCGCGCTCATGAAGAGAATGGGCAGCTGGAAAAGGCGAAAGAAGTCCTTTGGTGGTGCGTTGAACTTGAAGAGGCCATGGGAGTGCGTGACTGGCGTAGTCTTGCAGGTGGAGGCTACATCATCTAAATAATTCGATGTATGAAGCTTGCTTTTCTTCTTGCTTTTTGTTTTCCTTTCGAATTGTTGCTCTACTTTTATATATACAAGCGGATTACAGAGAAGTGAATAATTTTATGACAAGGTATTTATATGGAAGAAAGAGGAGGAGAATGCGATAGAGGGATGGGGCGACGATAGTCGAGGTATTAAAAAAACTGATAGAGCACTTGGGACGTTTCATTTCATTTTGCTTCTTCTTCGTTTCTTCACAGCTTAGCGGCAGCAGCAAGCAACGTTGTTAATATATATTGTTTTCGATATAGATTCTTTGAGAAATCCAAAAGATTGTGCAAAAGA